GAATAAGGGTAATCTTTATTGGCAATACTTGTTGCCACATTTTGTAAGAATGTTAATTTAAAAACATGCTTCTATACATGAAAAAAACATTGCGAAGAGTAGAAAAACAAGGTATCGCAAGGCAAAGCTGATAACACGCATAGGAACGTTAGCTTCATAACCAGATGAAAAAATGATGTGAGGAAATTGTAAAAGATTAACTATTAAAACTGGGTGTAACTTTGTCATGCAAGAACAGAACAAATAATGTCCTCGCGATTAACGCAGAGAGACGTTCCAGACTGAACCGAGCCGAGCACAGGTGCATGTTACTAATGAGTAAGATGCGTCTAAAATCATAGAAATTGTCAAGCCTAAAGTTTTATAATTGTGATTCATTACATTTTGAATTAATTGTATGAATGTGTAGCTCTGGATAAATTTTCATCATAATCACTTCGAATATAACTTTAAAATGGTAAATAAATAAATTCATAACATACGGTTTATAAAAGATAAAGCTGATATGAGGACATTTTTACAACACTAATATTTACGAGTTGATCGTGTTCCTTAAGTACAAGTAGTTCCGTTGTAAGAGCGGTCGTTAGCTGGTCCGTAAACATAATTATAAATAAAAACTCACCGGCGGTAGGATAGTATCTCTCAAAGGGTCCACCGCGTTTAATCGGAGTAAGCGTGTGCGACCGTGTAGCGGTTGCTGCTGTCTGCAACGCCGTTTCCAATTCCTTGGCCAACTATCATAACCGGCCATCATCATCATCACCATCATCATTATCATCATCGCCATCATCATGATTATTATCATCATCATTATCATCATCAAGCCGAACCAATGAGAATTGAACAGAACAAAGACACTATCTTGTAAAACGGAAGCGCTACACTCCTTGTTGTTAAGGAAGCTAGAAAAAGGTGTTAATCTGGCAAGCCATGATATATGGCAAGGCTTATTTTTGTCCAACAAAATGGTAACAAGCGGTACAAAATGGATCATGAATAAAAATAGCTGTGTCTGTATATGATTGTATTATCGTATTACGGAGCCGTACGATTAAAAGTGACGATTCAAAAACCTACACTGAAAAAAATATTCTGATTGTATCAACAAGAAGTACAAAGATTCGGATTATATAATTAGAATTCTGGTTAATTAAATTTTTGGTTATTTTGATTGAGAAATGTTCGATGTAGATTTAACTATATAAGTATCTTTGATTTTTACTTTTTTGAAATCTACGAAAATTTTAATTAATGCAACAAGACCAGTGTACAAATCTAAGAATCTAATTATTTCTGGATTTAAAGATTTATACATTGAAATATATTTTTAAAAAAGGAATTATGAACATAAAATATTCTAAATTTCATAATTATATACTATAAAAATAATACATATATTTTAATTCTATGTGGTAAAATCTCAATTTTTTATTAGTATTGTATTTCACAGTATGGATATTAAACGAAATCTTAATTTATAATACATATAAGAGAGAAAGAAAAATATAGATAATAACAAAAATCAATAATAATAACAATGCCATGTTTATACAAGGATGTTTATACACACTTCTGACATGTTTATATACACACTTCTAACATAAATCAAATTATTCATATAAAACATTCTGTGTGCTTACATTAGATTTTTTTATTACCTTTCGATATATAAAGAGTGAATTATTCTTAGATTTCATAACAAAATACGCCCTGTGCATTGCAACAGTCGTCTAAGAACTTTTATTCGTACGACTGAAGAAAGGCAAGAGAACAATTATAAATATATACATTTAATATTACGTGTTTGAATGAACGACAAAAACTTCTTTACGAATGAATTGAGTGCTGGGTAGAAAAATTTTGGGCTAAACGTAACAGTGCTGGGAATAAAATTAAGTCAGCATTCCTGGCAAGCGGCCTATCCTAAATAACTATTAGTAACAGTCAACAGCAATATTGTAATTCTCTATGCCAAATATTTCACGAAATAAATCTACAAGTATGTAAAGTATGTAATTGTGTTAGGAAAAGTAAATGAGGAACAAAATCTAATTGAGGGAAAGCGTTTTTCTACCTGATAGTGTCAGATAGAGATCATATATGGTTCCTCGTCTTACGGGCGGTAAACGCTTGCTGCGCTGGCTGTTCAAAGCCATGGCAACATCAGCTTCCAAGTATCGCCACTGCTACAACGTTCTGTCAGTTATGTCATATTTCGTACTTTCATTATAAAAAGTTTCTGTACAGGATATTAAAATACATATAGTTTAAGACTGATAGATACATTTAATGTTCAGAAATTGAGTAAAAAATATTCAATCAAAAATAGATTTTCCTAATGTTTTCCCTACTTTCTAGATATAAAAATTATCTTATCATTTACATATGATAAGATAATCTTTTTCTCACAATACTGAACAAATTTATAATATATTCACTCTATAAGTAAACAATTTAAGCTCATTAAGTGCAAATGTAAATAAGAATAAGTAAATAGTTAATTACAAGCAGATTAAAGATCTTAATTCGGAAGTAAAATAAAATTATTATCACTCCACAATAAAGTAATTTGAATTAATGGACGTTTCGCTAATATTAACAATAAGCTTTCCTAAACACACAAAAGTCGAATAAACGAAAGTCATATCTTTGATTAGATAAGTATTTAAAGTAGTATAGTACGCATGACATTGTGATAATATAATACAACCATACAATACAGCAAAACAAAATCATGACCTTACAAGTCCTTTATTCACTAAATACATTAACTCAATTGTAAACATTCTATAAATAACTTTATCAATACAAAAATGTTTATCAATGTAAAATTAATGTTTGACAAAGATATATTTTGTTATTTAACCTCTAAGATTAACAGTACTCTACTATCTTCCACATTTACGCGATAACTGATTTTTATCTATTAATTAATTATAATTATATCTGACTGTACATTATTTTTTTGTTTTAAATTTATTAAGATAAAAATAGAGAGAAGAAAAATAATATACTAATTTTATTTGTTTGGAGTTGGCAATTTTTTCTTATATAAAGTTCTCATGAGCAATATACATTAGATTAATTAGCTTAATATATAAGCAAAATTACAGTACTTAATTCTTAATAAAAACAAGTTGCACTTATATTAAAGCAGAAAATGATTTTGAATTTATTATAAGATCAATTTCTCAAACAGTATAAAGTATTTTTTTACTCAGTTTATAAACATAATTATATCTCTTAAGTCTTCAACTTTTTTCTTTAACATCCTGCATCTTAATGTTTCATGTTTTATTGTAGTCTTAAGTTTCATTAGTAATGATTGATACAATAAGTGTAATTAAATTTGTCAGATTTGCAATTCTCTAATGAAAAACATGTTTGTTACTTTTTCTTTCTCTCTGAGAATTGATAAGTTGCCATTTAATTTATCTCTATCTTTTTCATGTTTTTTTAAGAGACTTTGATAAAAATCCTGCCTAGATGGACGAGTGGTGTTTATCAACGGCACTAGCGCATTTGCTTTGCAACAGATATTTCCTGTTATCATTAGCAAATCATCTTCATATCAAATTCATTACATACCTCAAAAGTTAAGAGTGCCTCTTGGTCGTCCTGCTTATAATACTCGATGTTTAATGTAATCAGACCCTCTGTGTATCCTCTGACAGTGATTAGACTGCCCCTGGGTCCGGTATATAAAACGAGCAAACTGCCGTCGATGTTAGATTCTGTCAATGGCTTGAGACCGGCGAAATGTTCTGCCAGTACGTTCGCAATCGCCGATTTCAAACCCGATCGTTTCTCCATATCGGCGATCACGCTACTGGACACTGTGAAGTCCAGGAGTACGGTATGGGCCACCATTGCTTCTGCAATGTACGAACATACATATTTATAGGATGTAAAGTCAATCCGCGAAAATAGAGACGTCAATTTACCTCATATACTTAATTATTCAAGGCCTTGTTTCGGCGGTTGATAAATCATGCTATTAACAAGTCACAAGCTACGCAAAATTTCAACGTGCGAAGTAATTCTTTTTTCTTTATTTTTAAGTTATATGTTTTACACGTCTACGTTCAAGTAAATAGAATAATAGCTAACGTGGCATATGTCCTTAATGTCGTCATGCTCATGGAAAACACATTACATAATTAATCCCATAGAAAATACGAGTGTTGCTAGTGTTATTAGCACAGTGCAATAAATAACACCATCGATATTCAGTAAATTAACGAATGATTCATTAACCGTCGGTCATTAACTTGTTTATACTCACGTAATTGTGCGATAATGTTTATTGCTTGACCTGATCAGAAGCACATCAATGTGTTGCTCCCGGACGTGAAAGAATGACGTATGCACACACTGGCACGGAATTATGCGCAGGTTATCGGATGCGCACGAGGATTTCGCGTGACGGGACTTCTTATCTGGCGAAAACTGACGAAAATTAACGAACCGTTTCGATACGGTTCGACTACTGGCGCAAATCGATGTTGCGATATCTCGAATAATCTCGAAACTTGACAACCGATACGCAAATTAAAAAAAAAACGCATATGTATGTTAAGAAACATTACACATTTATTATATTATTACAAATTTATTACATTGCAAATGTAATATCTAATACTAATTTAACTGCCGCATGCAATAGGTTTTTCAAGCGTATTGCGTCAATAGGAATAATATTACGTGTTATATTAATAATGATTATTAAATTGTGTTTATTTTTGAGAAATAAATGCGAATAAGAACAATATGAAGCTAACACTTTTTTTAAACGTCGCAATATATCACAAAGGCGGATTTAAAAAAAATGATTGCACAAAAGACGCAGAATATGCAAATAAAAGATTTAAGCAATATATTAATTTTAAGAATCATTGGAATTTATCCACTTAAAAAAATATTCGTTTTTTACTATAACATAATATATGCTCTATAAAAACATTAACATACCTTATATACATACATATGTATGTGCGATGAAATGTCTAATAAAATATAAATATTTATATGTAAAATCAAAAACATTATACAAGACTTTTTACATTCTCTATTGTGTTACAAGATTAAGTGTAAAAAGCAATTTCTAATTTACATATTCAAGTATAAATTACAAAATCTCTATAGATGTATGAAGGCGCTGCGTGATATCAGTGGCATTATAACTACTCCTCCGTGTAATTATATTCCTGCAACAATATTATACGCATTTGTTCTTTTCGTTTTTCTCATTTCACATGATACCCAATAGGACTGTCCCATTATTAATCGACGTGTAGAAAATAACACGTGGTGATGTTATACAAAACATTCTTTTCTAAATATCTACCAAAACACCCGAATATCCACAAAAGGCAAACAATTTTTAAGAAGCAATCATTTATAGCCGCACATAGTACACACAGTTTCATTTTATCTTAATTATGAAAATATAAATCAATATTGAATAATTATTTAAACAATCTCCGAAAATTTATTTGTTATTTGGAATCACACACATGATCATTTTCGGGATCTTTTTTTTGCTCCTCTTATACCATCCTTTTAGCACAACCCATATTTATGCAAATATATTTTATTCAATAATATATATATTTTACAATGATAACAAACTACTCTATTAGTCCATTTACATTTATATATAACATGAAAAGAGTTATATGCGATTTAATTTTTTTTTTGTACCTTCATTGCAGCTTTGATTCCAATTGTGGTGAGCACCCCGAGACCAAACATAAGCACATACGGTATATACTTCAAAAAAGGCAGACTAGGTCTTCTTTCGACTAAATATCTGAGCAACTTTAAGTTTGCATCAGAATATGGTGGAAAACGAGACCTGAAAAACATTTTCTGCTCAAAACTAAAATATTAACTAAAATATTAATATATTAAAATGTATTCATAGCTTAAAATATAGAATTATCTTATTATATAAAAAGAATTTTTATTTACTTGGCCACGATTTCTGCAATTTTATTATAATTCCGAATCAAACAGCCTTTTTTATGCGTGAATGTGTCGAATGTAAATTTTCCATGATAAGCTCCCATACCAGAATTTCCTACTCCTCCAAAAGGTAGACTTTCAACTGAGAAAATAATGTACATTAATAATGTATAAAATAATGTAACAAAGAGAAAATAACAATTAATATTAATGCTGATCATTATATAAACATGTAATTATCATTTTTAGCTCTGTTAATTTTTTTCATCATTTTAATCAATTGGATTGAAGATTTTATGTTAATAGTTCTAAATTATAAATAAAGCAGTAATTAAATGTTACAAATATTAAGAAGGTATTAAAAACATATACAAGAATCCTCATTAGATTCAAAAGAATGTAATGATAATAAGAATATATCAATTTTTAATAAATGTTAAGAATGTAATAATCTTTAAATAAATAATTAAAGTCGACCATTTAACTCCTATTTCCACAGATTTAAAGGTAATGTGTGTAGCAACATTATGTAGCAATATATTCATACATATATTATATTCTGGATATTCATTTATAAGTGAATACTCGATTTCATAAAAATTTATTGAATTATTTTAAAATCAACGAAGAATGTAGATTTTGTGCAAAACATAATACAATTAAGCAGAATAAAAATAAAAACTTATATTGCAGAATACTACTCATTCCACATTTAGCGACCCAATCTAAAAACCACACCACATTTAATACTCTCTGTTAGTAGAAGCAATGTAACAATTAGGATAGTGCTGTTTGAAAAAAAAAGAAAGCTGAAATATACAATCAAATAATTTATATGAGACAACTTTTTAGACAACATTACTAGAAAAACTACCTGCTGCATGTAATATCGTGTCATTGATACAAATGGAGCCACTAGACGTATTATTAATGAACAAAGATGTAGTTCCTTTATCCAGGCTAAATAAATACAACGCTAAAGGCTTCTCCCTGTATATTAAATAATCAATGTAAGAACGTCAGTATAATTTTTTTTTTTTGCGAAATGTGTACTTGTATGCTTGAGATGTGTGAATGCACGCGTGCATTTTTATGAAGTATGTGGACGCGTGCTTGCTCGCATGCGTGCACGTGCATTCGCGCGTTGCTAATAATAATGAATACTCGAAAATAATTGTAGATCATCAAGTTTGTACATCATTAATGATATGTTTGTCTAGTTTTTCTTCATAATATCAATTTCATATATTAGTACTTGAATATTTATAATTCTACACCATCACCATTTTCTGATACGTACATTCTATTTGTACAATATATACGCATCTTAGTTTAAGAGTATAAAATATTTCAAACCCACTCAAAGTAAATAGAAATAGAAATAGTTTATATATATGAATAGTTTACATATGTCATTTACATATGACAGTATGAAATCTATCTTATATCATGAAAGGAAGATATGATACAAGTTGTTCTACTTCTTCTTCACCAGTCATTACTTAAACCAACCTTAAACCAGAAAAAGAAACGCGCATGCAATACGTTTTAGTGTGTAAAAGAAAAGAAAAAAATTATATCCTTTATTTACATCCTATAATAATAATAAAAAAATAATAAACATACCTACTCCCTTATAAGCGGAATTAAGAAATCAATTTGTTTATCTATCATTAGTAATCTACACTTTTTTCGAAAGATAAAGAAAGCTGTTCTGTCAATTTCGATGGAGACCAGATAATAGAATTATAAATCCATAAATATAAAAGTAAAAAAAATGTGGAAGGACTTGTTGGTCTTTAAGGCAAGATTTTTCTTTTACCGAAATTCTTAAATAATAAAAATAAATAAATCCAATAACAATAATAACTCCGTCACCTAAAATCCGGACTCACCGGCATATTGCAATACCGTGTCGTTGACACACACGGCTCCGCTGCTGACCTGGTCTATAATTAGATCTTGTACCCCCTTGCTTGTGGAAAATACGTACAGTACGAGTGGGCTTTCACTAGATGCGAAAAACTAATTACTTTGTGCCGTTCCCTCGTACGATAGTGAAATCATGAAGTGAAATATGAGTGAGTGAGAGGCAATAGGTAAAAGTTTACCTTATGATATTTTTTCATTTATATTTGTGTGGAGAATAAAATTTTCTGTGACCGAGAAATTATAAAAAATTCGAATAAATAAAAATATTCTGATTTTAGAAAATTAAAAAAGAAATATGTAATATTTGCAGAGGGAAAATAACTGCGCGCATTTATTTTTAATTTCTTAATATCGCAATTAAATAACGTACCGATTGTTAATAAAATTAATTGCTTCGTATGCATTATTAATATTTATTATAGGTAATATTGGTCCAAATATCTCCTCTTGCATGATAGGATCCGTTGGTTTGACATTAACTAGTATTGTAGGCGAAATAAATTTTTCTGTAGGATTCATGTCGCCACCAACAGCAATTTTGCTTTTATCACTTAAATAATTAACAAGCCGCCTAAATAACGAAAAACAATTGTTATTGTTTAATTTATCAAATTGTAAATTGTTTTAAAAATTGTAATTATTATCGGTATTGTATTAAATATTTGTGCACATAAAACTTACTGATAATGTTTGTCCGAAATAATGCGTGCTAAATCGGGACTTTCCTGTGGATTGTCACCATACCATTCGTGTAAAATCTTTTTGGTTTCCTCAACAAATTTTTTTTGTATCTCGGGTGTACATAACATATAATCGGGTGCAATACAAGTTTGACCAACATTGATGCATTTACCCCATAAAATGCGTTTTGCTGCCATTGATATATCTACTGTATTATCTATATACACGGGACTGCAAATCAGTATTTTTTAGTACAATTTCATTTGAATGAAAAATTTTTAGGGAATATAAACAATTGCATTTTACGTATTTATATGTTTTGAAGATATCCTTTACCTCTTTCCACCCAGCTCTAACGTAACAGGTGTGAGAAACTCATTAGCAGCTTTCCGTACGATTTTTCCAACCGTAGAGGATCCAGTATAAAAAATATAATCAAAACGTTGCTTGAGGAGTTCTGTCGTTTCTGGAATCCCTCCTAGTATTATCCGGCAACTATCCTATTTATAAACAAATATGAATCATATCATTATTTTTTCCAAAAATCCTACTAAAAATCATACTGTTTTTGAAACTAATACGTTGAGATATAATTATATAAAGAAGAGGAAGAGAGAAGAGAGAACTTCCTCTCCATTCTTCAATGCGCAGTTATTATGAGTCATTACGCAACAAAGTGCTTTATAATAGAATTCAATGCAAGAATTCAATTTCATGGTCTACCTCCTTTTACTTAAGAAATAAAAGAATCACGCAATTTATGATGGAATATTCTAGAAAAGTATAGGATGTTGCAAAATTTACAAATAAAAAAAATTGCTATAGTGTTAAAATAAAACTTAAATAATTATTTTTGTAATTTTCTATTAATAGGAGTTTTAAAATATTAAGAAAAAGTAAAATATAAAGATTTAAAATCAATGCTTAAGTTGTTAAATATATATGAGTTGTTTTTATTTTTTAATTTTAAAAAAAGATGATTCGTATATTACACGTTAAGTGTCTATGATTCAGACGTAATACATAATATATGGAGCTATAAAGATATTGCTAACGAATTAGCATACATAAACGATATAATTTTAACAATATCTTTGTCTCTAATATCATTAATATTAATCATTAACATAAGTGTAACTTAATTCAGTCAAATCAACCCTATTTCATAAAAACTGCTGTTCTTATATGGAATAAAAATCATATTACTTAATCTTTTTTAGCTAAAAAAAAAGCATTTTCAGTAATATTTTTTTTTTGATTAATGAATTTTGGGATAATTATAATATAAACAAATGTTTTCATACCGTGTCTAAATATTTCGGTATTGTCTCGTATAAAAATTTTGCCGTAGTCGCTGCAATTTCAGAAGGTTTTACAATCACGCAATTTCCAGCTGCAATAGCGCCCATCATAGGTAGTACAGTTAGTTGAAGGGGATAATTCCATGCACCCATGATTAATACAACTCCATAAGGATCTTTCCGGATTTCTATCATATCGAAAAAGTACGCAAGTGACTTGGCCGGCTGTAAAATATTGCAAGTTTCAGTGTTCACACTCTAGATTATTAAAGTTATTTGATGAATAAAATAATCTATTCTTATATAATAAAAAATCATATTCAGATTATACCTTTTCTGTTGCTGACCATTTTTTAATATTCATGAGCAAATACTTAATCTCTTGAATTGTATAATCGATTTCCAATGCAAACGTTTCGAACTTGCTCTAAAACGTCATCGAATACAGAACATTATTAAATATAATGTATAGTAGATTAATATATATCCAAGTATAAGAAAAATTAGAATTTTTGATTCGGCAATAACTACCCAAATCCATTTCTATTTCATTTTCTAAGAAAATCTAAAAGAGTGTTCTTATAATCGTAATCATACCCTACGTAAATCTGATGAAAAAGCTGCTGTAAGTTCTGAAGCATTTTCTGTTAACATAAGCAGAAATTGTTTCAATTGTTTGATTCTCCATTCTATCGGCCTTGTTTTTCCACTGTTAAATGTATCCCGTGACTGCTGAACTAACTGTAATTATTTTTTGGAAACAAGTCGTTAATCCAAATTATATTTTTCTACCAAAAAAAGAAGATATTGTGTGATTTGTTTAATTAATATACTTTAAATAAATAAATTAATTAATTAAAAATATGCAATATGAAAAAAATAAAATTCTTATTAACCCAATTAATGATACTTACATCGGCATAATTTATAGGCATTTGTTTATCATTTGTTGGTGCTGAAACAAAACATATTATAAATCATTTATTAATATTCAAGATTTAATAATATATTCAAGAATAAACGTCTTTCAATTTCAGTTGCTTATTATGACGTAGGATATTTGGTCAGGTCATAAATATTTTAATTTAAATACTATTAAGAAAATTTATGTAAATTAAAACGCTTTATCAATCAAATTAACATTTATATTCATTTTATCACAAGTATAAAAAGTGACTTACAGACATAACAATAATTCATACAAAGCAAAATTCCATTTATATAAACTTTTAAAATTATTTTTATATCAAAATAAGCAAAGCAGGTTTCAAGATAAACTTTTAGATGCATTTCTAGATAAAAAAAAATGCAAATAATAGATGCAAATGTGTATTATCAATTGATTTATGAATTTTAAATTTTAATGTAGTATTTGCTTGAATAACAAGTTAAATCTATGATTTAATTTTGAATATTTTAATATCAATGAATGTACGACGCGTTTATATTTGAAACATTGAAGGCTCTCTTAGATTAAATAAAGCATAATATGTGTGTAAGAGATATAAAACATTTTACAGTTCAGATAAAATTGATAAACATATTTGCTCGAATGAAAGAGATAGTGACTCGAGAATTCGCTGGATATTTAATATCTATTCTATTACAAATGGAAAAATTGTTAAAAAGAAATAAAAAAGAAATTTTAAAAGTTTGCACAAGAGATAAAAAGTGAATTTGATTTTTAAGGAATAATCGGAATAATCTTGAAATAATCAATTTGCAAGCTCTGATCATTTCACGTAAAGTCAAAATGCAAAAAGTAATTATCCTGAAAATTATTATTTTGTGTTAATATAACATTTCCGACAACGCATATTTCTTCATTTTTTCAGTGCTAAGGTTTTCCTTTTTTAACAGTACAAGAACAGAGAAAAGGACATGACATTTAACACGCAAAGGAATCAATGTCGTTCGAAAACAAACATGTTTTGCTTTGATATGTGAAAACTTCTATCTTACATATATACAGGATGACAATTAGAAAGTTGCTGAAATTACACGGTTATTTTATAATAAATGGGCAAAAAATGAAATAAATTAAACACTATTCTGCAGTAGAGATTCGTTTTTCTCATGTTCGTTAACATAAAGTGAAGAGAGAATCATTAAATGATTTGTAAAAGTAAAGATTATAAACAAGTCAATACACACTCAGTATTTAGAAAATCTCGGTAAGAGCGATTATTTTCATAAAAAAGTGCTCTTTAAAGATATTTAGTTACTTATACAGAGTCCCTTTCATCACTCTCTGATCAACGATCTCCGGTTTACTACTGTTTGTTGATATTAAAATTTGAAACAAAATACAAATTTTAAAATTGGGCAACAATAGTACAACTTAAGCTTAAGAAAGTTCGTCGAATCAAAGAAAATTTAACACCACAAATAATTGAATAAGAAAAGAATAAACTAAGATCGTAAAAAAAAAATATATATAATACTCTCCAGATCTTTGAAATCCCAAGTTAAATAATTATTTATCTCTTATAATAGTCAATTATAATCGACTATTAACTCGCAAACAGTAGCCAATGTATTAAAATTTCTCCTCTCTCTTTCTTTTTTAAGATAAATTATATTTACCTACTTCTTACGTAGATCATCATAATGGTTGATTCAATCATCGAATAATTTAACCGGGGATTGGTGAAAGAGATTCTCATGTCCATTTCTATCAATCTAAACTAACTTCAATTTCGGTTTTTTACTTTTCAACTTTTTTTAATTTATAGAACCAAAAGAAAATACAAAGTAAATTAAAACAAGATTAAAGTTAATCTATTTTGGAAAAAAACGAACATTATATCTGTTTTTATCAATGTAGATAAATTTTAATCACAAGCCAACCAATTCTTCATCTTCTTCTAATTGTTAAAAGATAAAAAATAAATTAAATCAAGATTAAGATTAATCTACATTGGTGAAAACGATCATTGCAGTTATTAATGTTAGAAAATGCATTTAATAGTTTTTAAATCCTTTCCTATTTATTTTTATAAATGCATTGAAAAAAATTCTAAATTTAATTATTTATTCAAATAATACCAATTAAATATTTACTAAACATCCCTGGCGAAAATAATATGTTTATTAAAAGTTTATAAGAAACTTGCTTAAATGTTGAGTAGATGATTCATTTGAGTTTTAAAGTATTTATGAGTTGTTTATGAAATGGAAATTTAAACATGGAATTGTTTAAGAAATATTTACGATTATGTTAAAAGATTGAAAAATTACGTTTTGGAAGTGTTTCAAAATGGTGCAACAATCAATAAAACTCTTAATAAATTATCTTAAACTACGTAACTGTCGATAAAACGTTACTTAAACAGGTATAAATATAACATCTCACTAAAAATTTTCGTCAGAGATAAAAATATTTAGGTATTTTTACTTATGTATTATAAATAAATGTTCATATAATTGGTACTTTTCAAATAAATATTTATTAAAATATTTATTAAAATTTAGTACATTTTTTCTCAGTGTATATATATCCAGTATTTGAAAATAAATTTAGTTGAAATAAAAATTATACTTAATTTATTTTAATTTACGTGAATTCGCGTTTTAGAGTGCTTAAAGTCGAAAATTGTAATAAATTAAAAAAAATTAATATCTAAAAGTATAATTATATGTATTTTTATTTACGAACATGGTAATGCATTGTATAAATATTCTTTTCGCACTAATAATATGCTAATAAAAATAATTTTTTTCAGCAGAATAGTGTGTGTATTTAATTAATTTAATTTTATTCATTCGTTACAAAATAGCAATCTAATTTCAGTAATTTTTAAACTGTCATTCATCAATATAAAGTAACATAAAAAATTTATTGATGTATAAACATAATTTCTGCATATTCATTCGTTACGACAGCAGAAAAATGCGCGACGCAGCATAATAATAAATTATGGAAGCTACAACATACTTATCATCTGCTTTAATTATTGTATATAAAACCAATGAATAACAGCTAATTATCTACCCAGCATCCGAGAATGGATTAAAATGGATTGGACATTTTGTCTATTCGAATTCGCGTATTTTAAACAGCGAAAACTTTTTTTGGATTCAATTAGATTCAATTGGATGCAACTGGATTGAAAAATTGCGTTTCCTATTCAAAATTTTGAATTATACAGTATTCACTATGGTCACAAACGCACTGAAAAAGCTGATATTATTTTTTGATTGAAAAGTATACAAATATGCTCCATGCAATTCCTATAAATGAATAAAAACATATTCGGATTGAAAAGGATTCATTTTAACATTCATGAATCCGTATTTCTAAAAATCTGAATCCATTTTAATCCATTTCAATACATTCTCAGATACTGGGTACGATAATTTATAGTAACTCTTAATGGAACTTTATTTAAAAAATCATAATTTTCATTTCGCTTTTATAAAAACTATAATTCAATTCCTATATCGATTTTACATTCATAAATTCCAATAAAAATCGATAATATTTGTATAAATAAATAAAGGAAAGCAAATTCTCGAAAACAAATCTGAAGGACAAATGCGCGAATATGGAAGGTCAGACGTTATGGATGATCTTATGGGTTCCAAAGATCCTTGAGAGACGAAAGTGGAACGAAAGCGTCAAATTCACGGAAGCGGTTGTCCTTACCCATATTCGCGAACACTGCTGAACCGTCTAGTAGACGTCACTTAATAATTGTTCAATTTGACAGCACAAGAATGTAAAGAGCACAAAGTTGGCGGTTACAACTTTCCGTGCGTGATGCAGTTGCGAGATCGGCGCGCTACTACATACTAACTTCTCACAATGTAAGCCTCAAAATACAACGTATAAGATCAAAGTGTACACGTGTCTTAGTTATCTCTCTGTGCTCCGAAAAAGTGGGGTCAAGTGAGACGACGTAGGAGGAGGGAAAGGCGTTTTTCTCCTTGGGATGGACGATGGAGTGCGGAGAAGTGAACAAGCGCCGCCCGTTATGGGGATAGATAATAATATGACTGAGACTGACAACTGTCGGATGGAACAGTCGGATTGTGCGCGCGTTTATCAGCAATAAATAAAAAAACGTTCGCTAGGGGATGCGACGGTTTACCGCCAGAGAGCGCCATGTATCGAGTAGCTTGGTCCGCGGGAGAGGGGCTTGGCGAAAGCCGCGAAAGTGAAGGGTAGAATCCAAAGGTCCGTTCGCGCCATTCGCGGGGTGGAGACAATTTGAGCTTCGGGAAATAGTCGTTTTCGCATTTCCTTACACGGACGGTGTTCTTCCTAGGTATCACAGGTGTTGTGTTATACGTTACTTTCTCCCGGAAGCCTCTCTCGCTTGCTTTTGCGATTTCTGATAAGTTTTTTTCCATGGCGCGTTAAAAGAGCGCGTCTTATACACGATCTTTTCCGTGATGATTGATATGAAGTTACATTAGCCGGCATTTTATCTACTCTCAATGTTCGATGTTCAATTTCTCAATGTTCTTATCTTTCAAGAAAGATACGCTTTTGAAAATGATCCTCGACCGAATTTCGATTAACTTAATTAATCGACATTATTTATTTATATATTAAGTAATACGAATAAAACTATTTTTTATTTAGATTATAATGTCTTATATTAAGTATTTTTTTTTACAGCATTTTTACTACACATTTGCATATTTTATAATATATATATAGGCATCAATTTTATTAAATTGATGTAATAATGCTTACAGGATAGGACACGATCTTCACTAATTGCAACGTGACAAAATAATGTCACAAATTTATATTTAGTTTTTTTATATACAGAAAAGGACCCAAATCCAAGGTCTAAACGTATACGTTTTATTTATTTTATAAACATATTTTATTTCACACATTTATATCCAGCTTATAGACACTATATTTTACATTTAGAGATTTTTATAATATTTATGTAATAATAAATGTTTATGATCTGTGCAATCTAAGACCACAAAAAAATTTACAAAAAATATTTAAAATAAGTCTTATAAATATTTACAAGTATTTTGTAAATATTGTATGCTTTCTAGAATATGTATGCGGTGTTAATGTAATTTAATTCGTTTAATGAGAAATTACACAATGCAACCTTATCATGTTTTAATTTAAAATACTAAAAATGATCTAATAATAATAAAATCGAAACGTTTGTTGTTACTGTGGGATACGAATTGATAAAGTTATTTACACGCATAAAATATTTTAGTTTAGATTTTTATGCTTTTAGGAATCGATTGTATATCGATCTTGAAATGAGGTGAAATTATAAAAATATGCAAACCAGGTGTTGACTAATGAAATTATATGGTCTGTTTTTTGTTCTTGTACTTGACTGTACTAGAACTCTCTTCCTCGCTTTCATCAAATATCAAACATACCTATTTCACTTTAAATTCTAAAAGTATACACTATTTCAGCCATAGAAAGTAGACCTTATAAATATTCTAATAAATTTGCTCACTTTTGTAATTTTTATCTCATTTCAAGGTACAATCGACTTCCTAATCAATTATAACTAAAAATGATAAAAAAATGATATTTGATGTGTTTTTAAGAGTATTTTTGTCGATATTATTTAATTAGTCAAAAATTTTCTGTTAAGTTAAAAAACAGTCCTTCTTCTTTTCTGAAAAATTTAACTTTTTGTATTTGTCACTTCTAAGAAGTCTTCTTCTCAGTCATCTCTTGTCAGAGACGTAGTGACCTCTTCTACGTGTATCTACTTTCTAGTAAACATGGGACAGTTTTGAATCCAAAGAATCCTGCCTATCAGGTTGTCATGGCAAAGATACTCTCGATGGTTTGCTATTGCTTTTAGAAAGAGGTGACGATTAAATAAATTCTGATATGTATGTTCTAAGACCTTTAAATCCGGATTTTTAGTACAGGGAGTGCAGTCTGCAATTTTCTGTTCCTTTTGAAATAAAGGAAACTACATATATTATCTATTACGCGTATAGTGTATATATTACGCGTAATAGATAATATTGTTTCCTTTTACATACATAATATATAATACATATGTATATAATGTATATAATATATTATAATATACATATGTATTATATATTATGTATGTAAATCTACTCTTTAAAACACTTAGTAAATCTCGTTCTTAAAGATTGAAAAAATCTAACTACTCTTTTCCAAGATTGCCTCAATTTTCAACTCTTCAGGGTGAAAAATTCCAGAGAATTTAGAGAGCATATATAATTACTAAATTTAAACACATTATTTTTATCAAAAATTAATTATTAAATTATTACCGACCAGTCACGTGACGCGACGACTTATAATAACCATGAAGCGCGCGTTTCATATAATTGTAGAATATACGCGAAAGTGATCGCTCTGAAAGGATATAAAAATAGAGACGTACCATTGTGATGCGTCGGTTGCACGTTTATTTTCACACATTCGCCTTTCGTATCCATAGAATTGCTCGACATTTCATATAGAAAGATAATCCTTTAATTGTTACTTAATGCACACGTTAATTTCAAGTAATATATAATGCAAAATAATTCACGACCGTGAGAAAGATAAATTCTTGAATAAATTGCGAGACGATCTGCGCACACGCGCACGTATTGCCGATCCGTCGTCGTTGTCACGTCCTGCACTTCGTATACTCGAAATCACGAATGCTGTCTCGAGGTTGTCGGATTCAAGACTGGATCCTTGATCGTTTAAAGCGAGTTCACAATGCGAACTGTGCGAAAGGTGATTCGAGAGTGGGAGTAGAATGGAATTTAAAAACTGTCTGAAGTTGAAATAATACGTCTTTAAACTTAACACAATAGATCTTGAAAACTACTTCAAAAATCTATGAAGATCGGATTATATAATTGGAGTCTGTAGCAGGTGTTAAGACGAAGTCCGAATGCAAATAAATCGTGAAAATTAATTCGACTTTCGAACCCCGCGCAAATAAATTTCAACACGTTATTATGATTATTGGAAAATAAGAATGTGTGAGACCTCTTGTTAGTCTTGAATAATAAAACAGACTCATCCTATTATTATAGTTAATAGCCACTTGCCGCAAGATTCTCTGTTATTATGCACCTCATCGATCTATCATTTATGTTTTACTTATTTTTAGACTATTCTTAAGTAGAAGACGCGGCAAAGAGAATTTCTATGCGTTAAGCTATGCTAGCTCTAGCACGTACATAAATAAACTTGAGAGAGGAAATAAGAACGCGAGAATCGTTATCTGTTATGCACTGTGAGACTATGGCTGGTATAGTTTTAATTCTTATTTTAAAAGACCATCTTAAACAATGCCTTCTTAATAAATAGGAATTGATTGAAATAAATTGAAATGGATTTAGATTTTTAGAAATACGCATTTACGAACAATAAAATGATTTTCAATCTAAATGCATTTTTATTTATTTCTAGAAATTGCATGAAGCACATTTCTGTGCCTTTCAAATTTACAAATAATGTTAGCTTCTTATGCATCGCGAATATTCCTCAATTCAAAATTCCTAATGCAATTTTTCAATTTAATCGAATCTAACAATTTTTTTTAATGAAAATGGACTGTTTTTTAATACATCCGAATGCTACTAGTAAAGTTCCAATTTATTTTAGTCCATTCTCATTTGAATTGAGATGCTAAGACTACGTTCTATTGGTTCATCTTAAGACTATACTTAAGACACTCTTAAATATAACAACCGATTATAAATATCTACATATGTCACCTCAAGCGCAATAGAGAAGAAAAAGAGGACTCAATTTCGAGCAGCATTGAGAATGTTAGAAGTCACGACAATCCCATAGACGTCAAGTTTGAAATAATCAAACAATCAAATAATGTATTAACCGCTTCTGAATCAATATATCTATATACATATGATATGTTTTTCATTGAAGATGCGAGTTACGTTTGAGACTTCAAAGTTCGCGTGCTATTATACTCAGGCACTCACGATCAGTCGCAGCCTGCGCATGAATGCGTAATACGATAATGCATAATTTCCAATACTAGCAATTTGCTTTTAGTAGAAAGAGATTCGTTAAAAATTTATAATAATACACTTTTTCAAGAATTGGATATTGCTTCCTTAGTACAACGGTCATTGCGATTCCATTTCCGCTTTCGTTACAATTCCAAGGAAAGCAATGTTATATAAAACCAAATAGTTGCAACAGGTTACCGTAAAATAACAAGGTAAGAAATTTAAATTTAACAAATTTTTTTCTTAGCCTAATTAAAATTACTCACTTGATTCGGAAACATCTAAAACAGCTGTTTGCATATCGATGCGACAGATATCGGACTCTTCCGTAGCATCCGTGATCGGGATGTCCAGTATTGTTTCAGCCTGGAAAGGAGAATATTTGTTAGAGATATTAATTTCTCGATGAAGATCAGAGTTTGATTTCAAAGATTTATTATTAAAAATTTATTTCTGAGAGGAACGAATCGGATAAATGTAGAAGAAATTGTTTCCCAAGATAACAATTGGCTGATACGTACGTCTGTAATCCGTTTAAATCATTTGATGAACTTTATATAAATTTGTAATCGTAAAACGATTTTATATTAATGACCGCAAAATAAATCCTAAATTTACAAAACACGTCAATGTATTAACATGATCTAATTGCCGTTATTATGATGTCTATAGGCTCTACAATTTATCGATGTGTATTTCCTTAAGAAAGCAGATCCATAAGTATATTTTACATAATTGCTAATAACTTAATTAGTAATTTACATTTCATTTTTACATAATTACGGCTTTTTTCTTCCTAATGTTAATAATCTGCGATGTCTGCTTGGCGCGTGCTCTATCATTTATGGCTAACGATATGGAAAGCGGAAAATCAGGATTTATGAGACTCCTTATTGCGCGTCATTTCACTTCCTCGTCGAGAGTGCAAGTTACGTGCACAGCTTCGCATACTGGCCTGAATAGCTACACGTGGATACAAATGTGTAACAATTGCCAGAACGAACTTTCGATTTCAAAGAAAATTGTTCATAGCTTGACAACGCTTTCAACATCTGTGAATTTTTGTGATATCGTGTTGTGTATAATGTTAAAATAAAGCTAAATACATATTCTCTACAATAATCCATTAGTATAATAAATTAGATCAGAGGCTAGAAATTAGCCAGTTATAGTCTATTATTCCTCTTGCATTCGACTATATGATTGGTCAATTTAACTTCTGACTTCTGACTTAATGGTAATGGCTTATTGTCTTACAGGTATAAACGACATCACTTATCATAAATCTCATTGGAACAACATCAGTATCGGACTTTTATATGTACAAAAAATAAAGTTCATGATTACTCAGTAAAAAACACATAATTATACAGGTATTACAACATTATTTTTAATGCTACAGATAATTAAACTTGTTTTACATATATATGCAAGTCGATTGCGTAATGGCAAAGGTTAACTATATGTTTTATCGCGAAGCAGTTGATGATAAACAAAATAATCATGAATCAAATGTAATGATATATTGTTATTCCTGAATCTTGCTCGTAAAATAATTGGAAGTTGTATAACGCTAGAACATAACATGGAATAAAAATGAAAGATATGAATTCATAGAGTGAATTGAAGGACGATTTTTCTTTCGAGGACTTTTTCAAAATTTAGAAGAAAAGTTGTTCTATTTTTCGATTGTGCCACTCACGATTTTATCTCATTTTCCATTTTATGACATATTCTTCCTCTTTGTTTTTTACAACGTCGTAGGATGGTATTCATATAGTCCGTTCATATTTTAAGACCGTCTTAAGTAATGTCTTAAAATGCTAATGCAGCTGTCTGATTGGTTCATGACCGCAAAACTGAACTTAAGACGGTCTTGAATATAAGAACTGATTATGAATACCGGACGTAGACCGGTAATCATAGTTTATGTTTATATTAAAATCATCTTAAGTAATGTCTTAAAATGTTAATACGGTTGTGTAATTGGCTTATGATATCTGAATATACTTAAAATGACCTTAAATATGAGAAACGATTATGTCGACTTTAGGGTTTGTAGCCTTGTAGCAGTTGTTGCCTCGCTATTTGTAATTTAAATCAGGAGACACGGTACTGTTTCGGCACTAAGCAAGCTCAGTTTCTATTACAACTTTTTAAATCTTATTAAACTCACTTTATGTAATATGGCCTCAATAAAATTAATAAAGGGATAACTATAAGTATTTCCGAAAGAAATGCTCAGACAAAAGTTGTAAGGTTTATAAGTTTAAAAAACCTATTTACTGATCTTCTTATTCATTTGATCTCAAATGGTGTCGCCACAGTCGGATCAAGGTCACATCAATTTTTAAAAATGAGACACTCTACTTTTGATTCCAATATCTGATAGCTGATATCAAAAGCTTTTCAAAACATTACAATAAAGTTTATTTTCATTAAGTACTTTGCGAGTTATAAGACTTGAAAGTTACAGTGTTGCCATAATTAATATTACTTATGGTAGGATCTGACAACTAAAATTTTTTTAATATTGTTCAGGTCACGTCCTGAATAACGTTCTTATTAAGATGGTAAAAATGAATTTTTAGTGCAAAAACGAAAATAAGAGCACAACAATCTCCAATTACCTTAATTTTAACAAATATTATCCAGGGCATAACCTTGAACAACATTCAAAGTTTTAGTGAAGTGAAGAACAAGTTCACTGTTTCAAGGAGAACAAGAAAGTCAAGATAATTTGACAATCTTATATTATTTTGATTGCCTTGGGTGAGATTAAAATTAATTTAATTGATAAAAACGATAAAATCATTAATTGATATGTTCCAGTGTAGTAGTGTGTTTTCGAAATTGTTCGTATAATAAACAGCTCTTTATACGAATTATGCGGTAACACAAATATCTTCTACACCATTTTACATCGATATATTAATCACATATGCCAATTCATAGGTACGATGGCACCGAACGTGACACCGGAAATTGAAATCGCAGTTGCTTGAATTTGAAACGCGTACACGTTTTAAATCCGATAGCACATAAAATCCGTATGAAATGCCGATGCCATGTCGATAGTGAGAATGAATAGTAGTGTATATTAAATTTCAGGACGTGTTTGCGACTGGAGAAAGTAATTGCGCGGATCCATTAAACACTGACGAAACACGATTGGAAAATTATTTCTTTTACTATTCGCGATCAACGGAATTCGGCCCGTTCTTACCGTGACAGCTGCAGTTTCTGCAATATTTCTCTCGTTTAGTCTCATTAGCGGATTGCGTGTTAACACACGACGGATTACTCACTTAATAAATGCATTTTACGAGAGTCACGCTGAGCTATGACTGATCGTGTGAGAAACTTACCATGTTTGATGATCCTGAATGAGGTGTCCTCGATTCGAGTTGAAGCAATATATTTATCACTACGGACACAGATCGCTCGTCGTTTAAGAAGTTGCTTCTGCCGCATAAAAGTATAATGTTACGCAATGCAGTCGTGTTATTTATATACTTTACGAACGGAAACCCGAAAAACATAGACAACGTCCACAAATGCGCTTTCCGTTTTTTACAGTATAATTCTTATAATTCTTATAAGTAATGAACAAAACGGGTTAATCGAGCGCCAAGAAATTCAGCGCGATTTTACTTCCAAATTTCGGGCTTATTTAAGCACTGCGACTAGAACTTTAGTGAGATATAAAATATAACGGAATACGATAGGTTACTAAACGCCTCTTCCCAAAGCGTCAACTTGGATCTATTGTGCGGTGTATCATGAATAATTAATGGCGACCCCGAACGATCTTGCGTATATACGCGCTAAGCTCAAAAGTAATTTTATTTGTACGAATTATTTTTTTCGAGCCAATTCGAGCAGCCTTATAAAAGAAATTAAATTAAGAAAAGTGATCGGTATTCATAGTTGGTTAATTCTTTTTGAGATCGTCTTAAGTAATGTCTTAAAAATGATAATGCGGCCCTCTAATCGTGACGTCTCAAGATTGAACTTAAGACAGTATATATTGAATAAAAAACTGACTATCGGTCAAATCATTAATTCTTGAGGAAAAAGAAAAACTGTTCGTCGAGTAATATATTATAGTTGAATATATAATTTTTCAATATCAGTAGTACAATCTGATACTGAATTTTATTCCTCTTTAATTATAAGTGTTTTTTTTTTACGGAAAGTTGGAAACTCTGAAAGACTGAATTTTGCAAATCATGCTCGCGAGAATGTTGATCATTGATCATAAACATTAGTGGCTAGTGGCTGTAGAAAGTCTAAGGACTTCTATTTATAAATATAAAAAAAGAAATAATTGTTCTTTACGCAATTCTCTGTATACGTATTTTTTTTTAGCATTAATTATACGCACAAAAAAGTTCCATTATATTACAAATGTTACATGATACGCATTGATAATTATAGATATGTAGGAAATTTTTTTGTACTAAGGAATTGTGTTAAAAATTCCTATTCTTCAATATGAAGAAAATAATTGTTTTTCAATTCTCTGTCTATGTATTATTTATAGTATCGTGTATATAGTAAAGTTCTTTTTCTAGAAAAAGAACATTATAATTAGTTTAAATTACAATATGAAGTGACGAAGGTTTTAATAAAAAAGATTCCACGTTCACGTACAATTGAGAGTTAAAAAAAATTCAAATTTACATTTAACAAACAATTATGAAACATCATATACATATAATCGGAATAATATCCGTAATTAACATACGAAAAAAAATTGTATAAAAAAAAATTAATATTCAAAAAGATTATCTACTATATAACAACTATACAAATTTAAAATGTTAATAAAATATTTATAAAATATATTATAAATATTCTGTACTGTGTCTAGATCGTCTATCCCGATTATAATTTCGTATTGAGACTTTGGGACTTGAGAGCGGCAGCTAATAACAGCTCCAAACCAGATGACCTGCACTTATAGACGTGTCAAAGACACGTGTACGCGAAGTGTCTCGTTATGTCATAATAAAGAACGATGGAGAAAAAGAGAAAGACAAACAAGTATCGGATTTTTGTATATGAATAATGTTTTATTTCCTAATTCTAGTAGTGTACGACCGTACGGTATGCGTTGTTTAAATAAAACCATCACTTGGTGAAAGTGAGTCATCATGTATGTCGTCCCTGGAGTCTGACGAATCTCGATATCATTCGTTAACAAGACTGGTGAACGAAGGGAGAATCGATCAAAGGACACCGAGGACTTTACCTGCAATAATATTCTTTTGTACGTATATATACATATTAGGGGTAAAATTTATTTACACGAGTTATTGACTTTGTATTTTCTTTCGCCAGATGTTGAACCTAACCTATAAGCGTGGAAATGGAGGAGATTCCTGTCTCATCCTCGCCGAATGACATAGTTTCTAGCCAGAAATCGTTACCGTCCACTCACGATCACGGATGGAACGATCCACCGGAGTGGGCATTGTCCTCGCAGCATAATTCATCAGGGACCTCCACCAAAAAACTTCTGAACAAGCGAGTGGCATTTCCACTATCCTCGCATACCTCTTCTTCAGAGAAAGCTGCCGTTTTGCCTGCATCATTGAATATGCCTCCTATGTTACAGTCTACCATAGCTCCTACAATAACCACAGCTCCCCACAAGCCTCTTCTGGCTCCTACTGATAAAGACTGTGCAAAAACGGAGTCAGATGACAATTTTGATAAAGATCAAGCTTTGACAGAAATTTTGACTAGTTTAGAATCTGTGATGACGGAGCAGAAGATGGAAGAGAACAAGGTGAAGGAAATACGAAAACGATTAGATATCATGAAATCTAATTGGCTTGAAAACAAACTGAATGATAAAGTACAGAGAAATATCTTAAACATATCGAAAGGTAATGAATCCTTACATTCATATGTTAATATTATATAATAATATCAGCACTATATTTTCAGCGCTGCTAAGGAAAGATATCAAGGAAGCCGATAAAATCCAAGTCATTCTTATGACGCAGCATGCACCTGTTTGTCATACTTGGATGCCAGCAATCAGGCATATAATATTTGAATTAAAAAAGGAATCTGAGAAATTCAACGACTTGCAACCAGAGCAGCTACCTTTGTTATTTGTCAATTCGAAGAAAAACTGAATTTATTGCTAAAAATAAGCTTAATATATAAAAACATAAAATAATAATTAAATATAAGAGTTAAAATAATTTAAAAATAACTTGTTTATTACTTTCCGACATGCCTACATCGCGTACGATATCTTTGCAGTGAAAGTATCGAACAACATTTTATTTAATACAATGAATGCTTTCCAGTCACTAGGAGAAGTACACGTATGACACAGTATAACACAGTAAATTATTTCATCCTTTTAACATTGACATTGGCAAATATATAATGCAATGATTCACATTGGGTTGCTTTCCATTCGGTGACAAAAGTCGACACAGGTATCGTTCTTTGTTACTTACGATTAAATTAGTTATGCTAAAAGAGATAGAATATTTGTATCACAAAATAGAAAAGAAAACTGTTTCTTATATTATACCATTTGTTTCTTATTAGAAAGCATGTAATATTATGTCACAATTGACTAGTCTATTACAGGAAAATTATATTAAAATAAAAATGAAAGCAGTTGTATTCATAAAAGTTTTTTGTATTTTTCATTTGTCTCTTATGTATATTCACAAAGGACATTACATCTGTCACATATCTTTGTCTAAATGTATTCTTACGTTGATAATGAAGTCATCGATAGCTAAAATCAATTATTCTTTATTACTAATATGTACCATATATTCACTACTCTAAGCATACTTCAATCTTAAGATGGACACATCCACGCGCGCATCCTGAACGAAATTTATTATTAACTTGAAACATCCTTGTTTATTTTTTCGCCCGTAAAATGAGTCTTTTATACCATTGCTTTCGCTGTCTTCTACCTTCATCGTTCCGAGGACTTTGTGTCGCGGCAGACGTGCGCAAAAATGCTTTACAAGTTATGGCTCTTAGAAAACTTACACTTATAACTTACGACCAATTTCTTTGATCGTCAATATATTAAATTTTCTTCCGTTCTTCACGTAAATAAATATTCATAAATACATTTAGGGGAGCGACGTGCGTGAAAGCTCTCTCGACTATTTTTCACTCTCACTCTCTCTCTCTCTCTCTCTCTCTCTCTCTCTCTCTCTCTCTCTCTCTCTCTCTCTCTCT